CTCCTTCTTTCCACTCCCTGCTCACTTACTTTCCTTTGTCTCAGTTTTTCTTTGACTTATTTTAATTTTAGACTCAAAAAGATTGTTAGAGACCAACTGGCCCAACCCCTTGCTTTACACATTGGGGAAACTGAGGCCCGGAGAAGTAGAGCAAGGGGCTCGAGGTCACCCAGACAGCTGTGGTCCAGCTCCCAGCTCCACTCAGGATCAATGTCTTTGCTCAGTGTGGCTCCTACTCTATGTTCCAGGGGGATGTTCAACCTCGTCTGGGAATTTTCTGACTGATATTCTCAGGAAGAACAAAAGCCAACAAGCATGAATGCTGCCTTTGAAAAGCTGGAAGCTAATTTGTCTTGGGGCCCTATTTTCCTTTTCGACTCACGCAAAACCACGTTTTCTGATCTGAACTGGCTGTCAGCTTCACTCCAAAGCAAGCACGCTTGATCTATTGCCTATGTGAACATAGCATGCTATTGATGTAATTAAAAATGCCATCAAAAAAGTTTATGACAAGTGAAGGGCTTTGATTTGGGGGAACTCAAGTTGCTTTCAAACTTTTACTTTAATTTTTAAGTCAGGAGACAGCAAATTATTTTAAAAGGTTACCTTCACCTTGAAAACACCCCAGATGACGTTGCTTGAGCACATGTTGAATGTGTGAAATGTGAGTGTTTTATCACTTATCTAAGCCTTTCCCCGGTGATGGGAAGACCTAGGCCAGGGACTCCCTGCTGCACTGCATCATCAACAATTTCTCTTTGCAGCCTGAGGGTTTGTTTCTTTAGTTCCCTCCAAGAGACCAGACGGAGCTACTAGACTCAGATGAAGACAGGCAGCGACAAGACTTGATTTCAGGTTTTCAGCCCTTTCCATTTACTGATGATAGTAGCCACCATCTCCAGAGGGCCTACAATGTGCCATGCACCGTGCTGGGTGCTTGCTTGTTTAGTTATTGTTCGTTATTCATGATCCTTACTGTAAACCTGGAAAATACGTTTATTTAAGCTCCCACCTTTATCACAGCTACATCTGCCTGGATTATTGCGGGAGCTGTTCAACGTTCTCCCTGGTTCCATTTTTGCCTTCTATGGTCTTGTCTCCATGGAGCAGAAGAATAGAGTCTTTGAAAGTGCCAGTGCAACCAGGTCCTTTCTGCTTACACCCTCCATGGCTCCCATCTTCTTCGGATTAAAGAGTCCTTCACGGGCACCCAAGGTGCCTGTGACCTCTCTCTCCCCCCTCCCCTAACACTCCCTCCCCACTCTGCCCCAGTCACATGGGGGCCAACCGTCCTTGATGACCCTTGAGTATGCCAGGCACACTCCCACCTCCTGTCTCACAATTGTGGTTCCTGTGGCCTGGAGTGCTCTCCCCATGTACCCTCATGTGTCATACGTTTTATGATCCAGTTGACCTTTAGGGATTAAGGTTACTGAGGGCTTAGATGATCTTTAGGATGCCAGTTATTATTAAGGGCAATGCTCCTGAAACTTTTCTTACAAAACCCTCTTAGGGCAGGGGGTCGTGAATGCTCTCTGTGCATCTGAGGGCATTGACAGAAATGAGCCACCACGGAACAGAACATTTTGAGGACTGCGCACTGATCTTGAAAAAAGTCATGTTAATTTTCACTGTATTCCATTATATATTTGTATTTTCTTGAATTAAAAAAAATCTTTGAGTAGTATTGATGCTCTAGGAGGGTTGGCTTATCATTCAAAAAGGTGCTGTGCCTGGGACTCCACCAACTGGAGAAGCAGAGATTTGGGGGTAGGGAGGTAGGGTGAGGTCTTGGAGTAGGTAGAGTAAGCTGAAGCTCCAGTTGGCTTAGAGGGCCTTTGAGAAGTAAAGAGCCATGTGGTTAAGAGCACGTATCTCCTATTTCACACCAACCAGCCAAGTATCTTTATCCCCAATTTCCTCATCTTTAAAATGCCACTAACATTGGGGATTACTTCATAGAGCTCCTGTGAAGGATCAATGGAACAATGAGTGCAAAGCAGCCAACGCACAGTGACATCATTGCTATTGTTAGCTATCATCATAGCAGGGCTGATTTTTAGGGTCTTCAGCCCAGGGACATGACTGAAATATTTTGGGTGGATTTCTGCAGCACTTGCAGAGGGAAGTAGACAGGGATGTTGTCTGGGGCCAGGAGCTGATCTTGGTTCCGGTTCCAGCTCTGCCACTAACTCACAGAGGTACCCTCGGTAGGACTTTTTCTCTCCCTGGGCCTCAGTTTTCTCATCTATAAAATACAGAAGTTTGGATAGAACAATTGCCAAAACACTTCCAGCTAGAACATTCTCTGAATCTGGGAGTTGCTTTCTTGACCTGTTGAAAAACATTTCAACGTCTCATGAGGTGTCTGCTAAAGAAGCTTCTAAAAAATCTAATTAGTTTGGTGTTGATGAATATGGCCACATTTATTAGCCATTCATCAAGAATCTTCTGTATAGGAGAACAGAAGGGATAAAATACTTGGAGAACAAAAATGTGGTGGGCAATCAGCAGGCTCACAAGCCTGTTGGGTGGTCTTCCCCATATGGGGACAGAATTAGGGCTGTGGAACTCAGAGATGGCACCTGCATTGTACCTCAAACCAGGCATCCTAGAATCAGAGGATTGTGGCTCACGGAGGGAATTTATTTTGCCCAAGGGGCTATAAAGCTGATCCAAGTCACTGACCTTTTAGTCCAGTGACCATTTTATCAATTTACATCACTACTCCAACACTCCTGGCATTTCTTCACCTGTAAAATGAAGAGAGAGATTGTTAAACTCTCTCTCCGAGATTCCTTCTCACTATATTAATTTACTGTTCCTTGAGTCATGGAAGACACATGGAAGCTGGGGTTAGAACCTAGGCCAGCATGGCCACTATCCAAGGTTCTAAAGGAGAGTGAGGGCCTGTCCCTACAAGCAGGCCCCCACAGCCAAGGGGAGGAGGGCACAATTGGCTTCAGAACCTCATTCCATCCACCCTAGAATCATTATTTCTACTATCTCATGGCTCCCCCATGTGCCAGGCTCTTGGTGCCCTCCCCAACTAAGCCTTGGAAACCGTATATGACAGGGGCCTTTGGAGAGAAAACAGCAGTGGTGAATGGTATGTTAGCTTTGTTTTCTCACTGATGTGGTACTGAAACTCTGTCCTAGGTTTGGGTGGTCCAGAAAAAAGAACGTCAAAGCTAAGCTCTCTCCATCAGCCATGATACCATATGATGGGGGAGGGGCACTCTCGGATACACTAAAGGGCACATGCACAAGCTGTGGTCAGGTTATTATCTAAGACCTTAGATGGGCTGGCTGTCAAGACCCTGTAGAAGCAGCTACAGCCAACAGAGTGGGAGACCAGGGATGTGGAAAAGATGGGCCAGGAAGGGCAGGAGATCCCATGGTCAGACTCACAACTTGGAATCGGTTGGGCTGGAGAACTGCAGGAGGGAAGGTAGATTTGAGGAGGCCGGAAGGTAAAATCCTGGGAAGTGCCTGATGTAGTCATCTCCTTCCAATTTAGTTTTACATTCACCGAGCACTCCCTGTGTTACACGTGTGGTTTCATTTAATTCGTTTTAGTGACACAATAAAGAATACAGCATTATTGCCACTTTACAACTAAGTAAACGTAGCCTCAGAGTGGTGGAGGGACTTGCCCAAGCTCTCTCAGGTTGGGGAGGGGACAGAAGTGAGTTTGGAATAAACTCTGTCTGCCTGTAAAACCCTCATTCATTCCATAGCAAACACTCCCACTCCTGACTCTGAACGCAATGGAAACAGGGCTGGGCTTGTCTGGAGTGAGTGGGGAGGGTGGGTACAGCAAGGGTGCTGAGTCCCTTCCTGCCACCTGACTTTTGTGCAAACACAGCACATTGAATTGGTATGACTTGGAAGCCTGTTTCTGGGAGAAGCTGGCATCTTATGGCTGGCAGTGTCTCTCAGTGCCCTTGGGAAAAGTGATGTGGGAATATCCACTGGTCGATTAATCAAAGGAGATTGGCCTTTGGGTCATACTTGGCCCTTAGGCCAGGAGTCATAAACACTGACTCACCCACCAGATGTATCTGGGACATTGAGTACTTTCTCTCTCTTGGTATCATGTGATTCCTTGAATACATAAGAGCCGTTTGTTGATCATCTACTGAACTCATTCAGCAAATGTCTATTGAGTGCCTACTAGGTTCTGGGCACAGTGAACCCCACAAAGTGGGCGATGACAGAGACGGGCCAGTCGGAATCCCGCTGTGCGCACTGTGCTGGTGGCCTCTGTAGCCACGTGGGGGCTCCCCTTCCACACTCTGCCCCCTCCTGCTGCTCAATTTCAGATGCTATGTCCCCCTCCCCCCGCATCATTTGCTGGTCCTTGGTCTTAGAGCTGGGGCTGGGGATGGGAGGAGGGAAACAGCAGGCACATGGAAGACAAATCACAGAGCCAAAGTGGGGATCTTCCTCCTGTTTCTTACTCTAAGAAATGACAAGTTTACCGCAAATTAATTCAAGCTCAGTTCATACCTGAAGAAGAAAAGGGAGCTGGTTAGACTCAGTTTCTTGGTCAGCTTTTCAAGCCTGGTATTAATCTATTCAACAGCTTCGTTCACCAGGAGAAAACACGCTTCTTCAGGAGTTTTCTAACTGAAAATAATGCCTCATTAAGTTAAACATATTAACCTGAGAACGGTACTGATGTCAGACAGACTAATGAATGTCATTATAGGGAATGCACAGTAGTCCTCGAGGGACCCAACCAGCCATTAGAAACTCTCTGCAAATGCACTCAGCTATTGTCCCAAGGATGTGGAATCTCGAGGGAGGGAGGGAGGGAGATGGGAAAGGAGCTGGTGTGGAGCTGCTGTCATCCCGGGAGCGGTGCCCTGATGAATCCCGGCATCTTTGAATGCTGTGAGGGGCACATGGCCAAGGGAGGTGCCAAGTGTAAAGTGACTCATTGTTGGGTCCAAAGGGAGGGACACTGGGTTTAGCTTCTAGAACAGGAGGGAAGGCAGAAGGCTCAGGGTTCAGACATCAGAACACTGGGTCCTGGTCCCAAGTCTCCTCATCACAGTGGACGAAATTTCATTCCAGCCCATCTTTTCTGAGCCAAGCGCTGTGCTGGGCATATTCACATGCATTATATTCATGCAACCCTCACAGGGTCCTAGGGAAACTTAGGCTCAGAGGAGTTAAGGGGCTTTCCCAAGTTCACCAGTGAGTGGGTGGGAGATCTGAGACCAAGACCCAGTCTGGCTGACCCTGGTGGAGGCTTCCTCTTCCAACTCACCCGGCCTCTCCCTCCTGATGGTCTGTCTTCAAAGCCCTCCAGACTCCTTCTCCAGGACCCTGTAATTCCTTCATTACAGCTGTGCGGGACTCCTCTGGTCTGGAGCTGGTGTACCCCCTCGCAGAGGGAGTCCCGCTGTTCATGGAGGGGCGTGAGTTCTGATCACTATGGGCACCTGCTCTCTCACAAGGTAAGCTCTGACAGCTCTGGCTGAGTGTTGTGGCTGCAACTTAGTTGCACGTTGGGCTACTTTATATGCTGAATGGAACAAATTTTGGGTGAAATGCTATGTTTAACTCCACTGTAATTATTTCTGCAATTATTTATTTAATTTTCATATCTCCTGCAAGTTCTTTGGTGGCAGGTTCTATCACTACCTTTGTCATTTTCTATTTTTTGGTGCCTGGCACATACAGTAGGCACATTTTAATTATCTGCTGGGTGGTTGAATAAAGGATGCACTGAAAGGGGGATGTGAGTTCTACCAGCTCAGTTTCTTTAGGCAGGGTGAAATACCTGTGGAATCTTAGGAGCAAAGATAATGGTGAAGAGACGATTGAGAAGAACCAAGGCACTAGAAAAAACACTGCAAGGCTATTGAGTCCCGCAGCTCTGCAGTGAGAGAGATGTGGTGTGTCAGTTAGCTAATACTGCATAACAAACTACCCGGAAACTTATTGGCTTAAGATATAAGCATTTATTTAGCTCAGGAGTGTGTACATAAGCTGGGTGCTTCTGCTGATGGGGTGGGTCTACTTGATCTTGGTTGGGTTCACTCATGCACCTGCAGTCAGCTGGCTCAGGGCGGGGGCAGTCCCTGGTTTAGCATGGCCTCAGCTGGGATGGCTCATTTCTCTTTCATGTGGCCTCATCTGACAGTGGGCCTGTTCCTATCTTCATGGTGAAGATAAAGGTACAAAAGAGGGAGTGAAAGCACACAAAGTAGTTTTGAGACATGGGTTGGCGGATTGACCACATATTCTTATTTTCCATATTCTTGATGCTCTGTGTTAGAGGCTGGTTCTCTCCAGGAAGGACTAGTTAGTTCCTAGAGATAGCAAGTGACTCCCCTGTGAGAATGCCTTTGATGTACAAAACAACCAATTCAGAGCCCCCAGCCCTGATCACCCCTATCTAACTCTCACATACCAAGTCAATATTCTTGCTGCCCTAAATCACCCCAAGCTAGGTGCTGGCAACCAGGGACCACCCCTATAGCCCAGAGCTGCCAAAATTACTCAGATTATCTAATCCTAAGCTTACTCAGCATTCCTACCTTGCCTTGCCCATTTCTTCCCCGGAAAAAAGCTCTGGGCCATGCCTTCCCTTCTTCCCCTTCTGCTTCCTGACCCACCTTGGTGCTTCCCCATGTGGCCCTGCATGCTGCGCTATGCCTCATTTTTCTAGGGATCTATGCGTTTAAACTTCCTCCTTTATAACATGTCTTCACGTCTTACCATACCTGGTTAAAAAAACCCTGAGTATATTTTTAAAACTTGAAGTATAGTTGATTTACAATATTGTGTTAGTTTCAGGTGCACAGCAAAGAGATGCAGTTATATATATATAGTTTTTAGATTATTTTTCATTATAAGTTGTTATAATATATTGAATGTAGTTCCCTGTGCTATACAGTCGATCCTTGTTGCTTGTCTATTTTATGTATAGTAGTTTGTATCTGTTAATCCCACACCCCTAATTTATCCCTTCTCCCTCCCTTTCCCCTTTGATAACCATAAGTTTGTTTTCTATGCCTGTGAGTCTGTTTCTGTTTTGTATAGAGATTCTTTTGTACTATTTTACTAGCCAACAGGCACATGAAAAGATGCTCAACACTGGGTACATTTTAACACAACTGGTACAGCAAAGCGGGGTGGTTTGACACTAGGTGGAGATGCTATGTCTTCAGACTGCCCTCTGCTTACTAACCGGACCCCACAGACAGCGGCCACTGCCCTGAGAGGCACAGCCAGGTGTTGGGGCGCATGCTGCTTGATGGTGACAGCATTGTGCTGTTTCTGTCGGGTGGTGCCATGATTTCCCAACCGCAAATTGTGGAGCTCGAAAAGCTGAGTCCTCCCGGAGCTGTTGGTGGTCTAGAGTTTCAGGTGCTCAGGACAGAGCATCCGGGGGTGTGGAGGTGATTAGCTACTTCAGTTTCCCCAAGAGACCCCTCTGCAGGGGACAAGGAATGACCACACTTCTGGTGCTGTGGGACAAGTCTGACCAGCTGACTGGGCAGGACCTACAAGCCTTGGGGCCATCTGAGTCATTTCGATGAACGTGCCTAGTACCTGGGACGTTATATACTCCTGGTGACGGTCACCACCTCCCCTTTCCACTTGGAGCTTCGCGGAGTCACATTTGCGCCTGTTCTGTAGAGTAGTCGGGAAGTGCGCCACCTGAACCTTTGCCATGTGTCGAGGGTCCCATTTGCGGGGTCAGTGCGAGTTTCTCCTCCTCCTCCGGGGAGCGCGATGCCCTGCAATCCTTGTGGTTCAGGCTGCAAGCTTCTCTGCTGTCATCTGCTTGCTGCTGTTGCGATTTGTTTCCCCACCCAGTGGGATATAGAAGGGCCCCCCACCCCGGACACCAGAGGCTCAATGTTTAATAAAAGAGGGGAAAGGAGGACTTCCCTGGTGGCGCAGTCGTTGAGAGTCCGCCTGCCGATGCAGGGGACACGGGTTCGTGCCCTGGTCCGGGAAGATCCCACATGCCGCGGAGCGGCTGGGCCCGTGAGCCATGGCCGCTGAGCCTGCACGTCCGGAGCCTGTGCTCCGCAACGGGAGAGGCCACAGCAGTGAGAGGCCTGCGTACCGCAAAATAAACAAACAAATAAACAAAAAGCAAAAAAAAAAGGGGAAAGGAAAGGAACATCCCAGTCCTGGTTCCCTTCAGACCCCTCACTCCCCGAGGATATGGTTCAATTAATAAAAAAATGTAAAACATCTAATCAGTGTGCAAGGGCTCTCTGAAGTACTGCGTGTCAGTACCAGGGAATTCCACACTCAAAAGAAAAAAACTTGAAAAAGAAAGCTGATAGCACTGGTGCTGTCTCACATGTAAACCCCAGCCCCTCTGAGCTTGAGTGGGATGCCCTAGAAAGGGAGGCCACCGCTCACAGCAGAGGCCACTGGGGACCACTCAGAGTCCAGCTACTAAGCACCCTAAGGAAAAAGGAAAAAAAGAAAACTATGGTCAAAGACAGACATGAAAAAAAAAAAAAAGAAAAGAAGTTACTCACCTAGAGATACAAGCCAGAGCCCATACCACACTCTTCTTCTTTATCAAACTCTCACATACCATGCCAATATTTCCCCTGCCCTAAATGACCCCAGAGCCAGTTATCAGGCACCTCGGGGTGACTCCAATAGTCCATAGTCTGCAAAAATTATTCAAACTGTCCAATCCTAAGGTTACGCAGCATACCTACCTTGCCCCACCCATTCTTTCTCACAAAAACCCTAATAAAGACTCTGGGCCATGCTCTCCCTTGCTCTCCTTCTGCCCCCTGACCCACCCTAGTGCTTCCCCAGATGGCCCTGTGCAGTGCGCTCTGCCTCTTCTAGGGATCTGTGAGGGTAAACTTCTTCCTTAATGACAATCATTTCTGTGTCTGCGTGTCTTACCATACCTGAGTTTAAAAAAACAACAGCCCTTTACAATGTCGTGTTAGCTTCTGCTGTACAGTGAAGTGAATCAGCTGTATGTATACACATCCCCTCCCTCTTGGACCTCCCTCCTCCCACCCCCCATCCCACCTATCCAGGTCATCACAGAGCACTGAGTTGAGCTCCCTGTGCTATAGAGCAGGTTCCCACTAGCTAGCTATTTTACCCATGGTAGCGTATTTATATCAAATCTAATCTCCTAATTCATCCCACCCTCCCCTTCCCCCTCTGTGTCCACACATCCATCCTCTAATTGTACTCCCCAAAAAAAAAAAAAAAAAAACAGGATAACCAACAAGGACCTACTGTGTAGCACAGGGAACTCTGCTCAATATTATGTAACAACCTAAAATGGGAAAAGGATTTGTAAAAGAATAGGTACGTGTATACGTATAACTGAATCACTTTGCTGTACACCTGAAACTAACACACATATAGTTAATCCACTATATTCCAGTATAAAATAAAAAGTTTAAAAAAACACAAAAAGACAACAACCCTGGGCATATTTTAGGACAGCTGGGAACTGGCACATCACTTCTACCACATTCTATGGGCCAAAGCAAGTCACAGGGCCATCCCAGATTCAAGAGCTGGGGAAAAAGACCTCATCTCTTGATGGGAAGAGAAGCAAAGTCATATTTCAAAGATCGGGAGACAGATGCAGACAGAGAAGAAGTATGGTGGCCACTTTCCAATCAGTTTTTACACATGTTTTAACATTTCATTATTCGCCATTTATATTCCTTATGAAAATTCTCAGCAAACTAGGAGTAAAAAGGAACTTTTGCAAACTGATAAAAAGAACCTGTGAAAGCCAACAGCTAACATACTTAATGGTGAAAGAGTGAATATTCTACCGCTAAGATCAGGAACAAGAGAAGGATGTCCTTTTTCAAAATCTGCTCTGTTCAACACTGTACTTAAGGGTCTAGCCAGTACAATGAGGTGTGAAAAAGAAATGAAATGCATCCACACAGGAAGGGAATAAGTAAAACTTTAGTTGCAGACAACGTGATCAGCTACATAGAAAACCCAAAGGAATCTAAGTTATTAGAACTAATAAATGAGCTTAGCAAGGTTGCAGGATGCAAGATCAATATAGAAAAATCAACTGTATATTTACTAGTAATGAACAATTAGAGATTGAAATAAAAAATACCATTTACAACAGCATCAAAAATTTTTAAACGCTCAGGGATAACTCTGAAAAAAGATGTATGAGACCTATACACTCTGGACTAAAAAAAAGCATCAGTGTGAGAAATTAAACAGGATCCAAATATATGAAGAGACATATACCGTTCAAGGTCAGGGGACTTAATATTGATGTGTCAGTTCTCTTGGTCAACTCAATCCGATTGAAAGCCCAACAGGCATTTGTTTTTTTTGGAAATGTACAAGCTGTTTTTAAAATTCATAGGGAAATGCAAAAGACCTAGAATAGTCAAAACACTGTGAAAAAGGATATATTTGGAGGATAAATGCTACTTAACTTCAAGACTTATAAGGCTCAAGGAATCAAAACAGTGTCATATTGACATATTTGTCAGAAGATCAATAGGGCAAGATAGAGGGCCCAGAAAGAGACCCATAGATATATGCACAGCTGAATTTTGCCAAAGGTGAAAAGGAAGTTCAGTAGAGAAATTGTTTTTTCAGCAAATGGTCCTGGCACTATTGGATGTCCCTATGCAAAAAAGTGAGCTTCAGTTCATACCTTACATCACACAAAAACTTAATTTAAAATTGATTACAGATCTAAATATACATCCTAAAATGATATAACTTCTAGAAGAAAACAGAGGAAAAAATCTTTGTGACCTTGGGTTAGGCAAACTTTCTTAGATGACACCAAGAGCATGATCTGTAAAAGAAAACACTGATAAATTGAAGTTAATGAAAGTTAAAAAAAAACATTTACTCTTTGAAAGATAGAGAATTAAAATACAAGCCATGGACTCAGAGAAAATATTTGCAAAGCATATATCTGATAAAAGATTTATATCCAGAGTATATAAAGAACCCTCAAAACAAACAACCAATAAACAGTAGACAAAGGAGTTGAGCACATAATCAAAGAAGATCTGTGAATGGCAAATAAATAACACATGAAAAGATGCCAAACATCACTAGTGATTAGGAAAGCATGAATTAGAACCACAATGAAATGCCTCTATAGACCTGGGGTATCACAATGGCTAAAATTTAAAAGATGGACCATATCAAGTTTTGCCCAGGGTATGGAAGAACTGGAATGCTCATACATTGCTGGTGGGAATGTAAAATCATACAGCCAATTTGGAGAACAGTTCGATAGTTTCTTACAAAGTTAAACACCTACCATATGATCTAGCTCTTCCACTCCCAGTTCTTCACCAAAGGGGAACGTGAAAGTCCATAGCAACTTTAAATATAATAGCCTCAAACTAGAAACAACCCAAATGTCCATTGACAGGTCAATGGATGGACAAATTCAGCATATTTATATAATGTGATACTACTTAGCAATAAAATAACTATCGATACATGCAACATGAGTGGATCTCAAAATAATTACACTGATGCCAGATATAAAGGATCACATTGCTGTATGATTCTATTTACATAAAATTCTAGAAAATGCCAACTCATTGATAGTGACGAAAAGCGGATCCATGGCTGTCCAGGGATGGGGGCGGGGGAGAGCAGACATGGACAGGAGAGAGGGATTATAAAGGAGCACATGGAGATTTTTGGGGGTGATGGGTACTTTGATTATCTTGATTGCAGTGATGGTTTCAAGGATGTATATAAAAATACTTACTGGGCTTTCCTGGTGGCGCAGTGGTTGGGAGTCCGCCTGCCAATGCAGGGGACACGGGTTCGTGCCCTGGTCCAGGAAGAGCCCACATGTCGCGGAGCGGCTGGGCCCGTGAGCCATGGCCGCTGAGCCTGCGCGTCCGGAGCCTGTGCTCCGCAACGGGAGAGGCCACAACAGTGAGAGGCCCGCGTACCGAAAAAAAAAAAAAAACCTTACCAAATTGTATGTTTTAAATACATGCAGTTTATGTCAATTATATTATACTTCACTAAAGTATTACAAGACTAAACTGAAGTAACACATGTAGAACACTGAAAGGGTCAGGCACAATTTCCCAGTGGCTGGAAGCTGATGTCATTAAATTTTTTTTTTGGTTTTTGTTTTATTTTTTTAAACATCTTTATTGTGTCATGGGCTCGGGGGAGGGGAGGATAAGGTGGATGTGGTGCAGACTTAGAAAGAGGGGTTTGGCCACCAGGACAGGAGATACCGCGAATGGAGGCTTTTCTGTGAGCCCACGACACCCCCGTCCCAGGGAGAAGGGGGCCTCAGTCTGTGCTTTCCTCTGAGGATTGTTGTGGGGAGGGCGGTGGGGGGTAGGCAAGGTAGCCCTAGAGGAGGAGTTAGGTACATGGGGATCCCCCAACTCCCTGCTGTGTGACCTTGGGCAAGTTGCCTTCCCTCTCTGGGCCTCAGTTTCCTCATCTGTAGATGGGGGACAGTGATTTAAACAGCTCTTCCCTCACAGGGGGGTTGAGGACATGAGCCCTAAAAGCCATACAAATGGACACCCAGGAGTAGAGGGGCAGTGAGGGCAGTGGTCAGGGGCCAGGGGTGGAGTCGCCACAGGTCTGGGATTTAGATACAAGCTATGACCTTGGGAAGTTCCATTCCTTAACTTCTCAGTGTCAGTTTCCTCAGCTGTAAAACAGGTTAACACAGTCCCTTCCTTGGAGAGTGGTGGTGAGAATTAATGAGGTGGTGCACACACAGCCTGGTGCACAGTAAGCCCCCAACCAACCATGGGCGGTATCACTGGTGTTCTAAAGGGACGTGAATCGGAGGCACATTCATGCTCCTGGTCTCCGTCGGCCCTGACTCTGACTTCTTATGTCTACAGAGCCTGGCCTCACTCTGCTTTGCTCTCTCTGCTTAGGGTACCCATACAATTTTTCCCCCATTTCTTGGGAATGGCCCAGGCAAGGGAGAATGTGTTGTTGGTGTCTGGCGTTTGCACTACATTTCCCCAAAGAAGCCTTGTTATCATGGTTAGTAGTGGTAGAAGCCATTAGGACTTTTGGTCCAACCCCAGTCTATAACAGAGTTTTAGGGAAAATTATATTTTGAACTTCAAAAAAACTTTAGAAACATAACATTCCTAAATTCTTGGAGAAGAATGAATATCTGTCTTGCACCCCTGCATGCCAGGCATGGTCTAAGTTCTTTGCATATGTTAATTTACTTAATTTTCACAATGATGCAATGAGATTGGTGGTATTAGTCTTATTTATTTATTTTTTTCTGGCATATAATTTATTTTCAAAGTTAACCTTTTTGTGGGGGGAGGTAATTGAAGAGCCCTGTGAAGTTATAAGAAATAATACAGAGGTCTTTCCCTGTTCCTCCCCACTAAGCATAACTATCGTTGCTGGAAATGACAAGAGGACCTAAGGAGCACTCTGTAAAGCGGACAGAGTAAGGCAGACGGGTTAAGGGCCCCAGGACTGGAGGAACAACACGGCGGCAGGATGTCTTAGATCCCACCCACCCACAGAAGAAGGAGACCCAGGCCCAGTTTCTCTATTAGCCCCAACCTGGCCACAGAAGGCAACCCAGGTAAGCTCCTTCCTCACTGGATCTAACGGGAGCCCTGCCCACACAATCAGGTGACACTGGCCAGATGGATCCTACCACAGCCCCCAGCTGGGCAAGCATTCATCATCCTGTGGGGGAATTGATATTTAGCTGAATTTTAAAAAAAGAAAGGAATGAGAGAGATCTTGTGTACACTTTGTCCAGTTTCCCCCAATGGTAACATCCTCTAAAACTGCAGGACTATATCACAATCAGGAGATTGACATTGATACAACCCACCCACCTTACTCAGATTTCCCCAGTTTTCACTTGTACTCATTCATGAGTATGTGTGTTTACGTGGTACGGCAGGGGGTGGGGCCTCCTCTGCCCACTCTGACCCACTGTGGCCACACCAAAATGGTGGCCCCTACCTGCCCTGAGCTACCCCTCTTCCAGCCGGCTGCCACAGTTTAATGACTCCGTCTCCATGTTCCAAATTGAGATTCCCGAGAGGGGAGATCTGCTGACTTGGCCGGTGTGGCCCAGGTGTCCATCTCAATGCTGTTTATCAGCTGAGGGCTGCTGGTGGTGTGGGAGCAGGAGAAGAACTTCGGGGCTGCGGGCTGAGCAGGGAGGAGTGGGTCAGGAGAAAATAATCAGTATTTCTAAAATGATGGGAGTTATGGTCCTTATTTTTCAGATAAGGAAATTGAAGCTCAGAGAGGTACAGTGAGTTGCTAAAGATAGCACAGCTAGCAAGCTGGGTAATCGCGATTTATACCTGAGGTTCAGCTGCAATCCAGACCGCAACCCTCAACACCTCTTGCTTTTCCGTCTCTTCCTCCCATCTGCTCCTCTCACCTGCCGCTTCCTGCTGGGCCAAGCAGAGCAGGAAACAGGGAAAAATGACTCCCCTGAGGTGAGAGATAATGGGGGCAGCTCCTGGGGCCGGTGAGGGTGAAAGTCCTGTCGCTCGCTGCCCCCTCAGCACCTGGGGCATCTGCAGATTCCCCCAGAGCCCTGCACCTGACACCGAGGTTGCCCCTGCTCTCCTTCCAGAGCGGGCCTGAGGAAGTCAGTGCACCTGACCGTCATGCTCAGTTATTCATGCCAGTAAGAGTTTCATTGAAATTTCACGACAGTCATCATGTCATCAAACAGCTGACGATGGCCTTGGATCTTTGCCGGAGTCCCGCGGTCCCACAGCAGAGATCTTCATGCAAAGTCTTTCAACCCTCACAAATCAGTTCTGATAACAAGCCCTCTTGTGATTGTCGCAAAGTCCAAAGTGGGGCAGATGCAGCACCCTGGTGACTGTGGTTGAAGAAGGCCCTCGCCGGAGCAGGGCTGTGGGGTCTGCTGGCCACTTGGTCCTGGCCTCTGGTTCCAGGAGACAGTCTCTGACATTTACCCAGCGAGATCCATGGGATGATTCCAGGTAAACAATGGCCAAGGATGTAAGAAGGGAGACTGCAGAGTGGGTTGTACCTGGAGGTTACAGAAAACCACATCCCTGCAGGGGCAGTGGGAGGGAGGGAATGTGTGTGCATCCCCTTCAGGGTGTCTTAGGGTTAGGCAGGTGACCTTGTGGCAGGTCCTCAGTTTCCCCGCTTGGCAGGTGGAGCTGATGAACCCTCCTCCACAGGGCACTTGCGGGGGTCACAGGAGGGGCTGTGGGAAGCTCTGAGCACGCTGCCTGCACACAGTAGCTGCTCAGATAAGTGGCTGTTGACTTGAATTGGGTGCCAGATGACTTGCTGAGCTGGGTGAGTGGTGATGGGGAGCTCTGGCCTCCAGCCCTCCCCGTCCCACCACTGATGGTCTGAGGATGGTCTGGGCACCACTGGGCAGTGGGAGAGTGGGTCTACATGGAGGCCGACCAGACATGGAGACTCAGGGATGTGGGCAATAGATTTTCCTGCTCAAAGAGACAGCAGCACTTTGGAGGCAGCCCCAGCCATGGCTGATAGGAGGCCAGACAGCATTTAGAGAAACTGGGGCAGGTTAGAGATGGCCAGCAAGGTCAGCCCAGGCCTTCCAGCAACAAAACAGAGCAAGGGTGTGTCCTGCAGGCAGGCGGAGCTCCACCCACTGTGGGGCCCAGGAGCCGGTGGTGAGGGGAGATCCTGACTCGGGGTGAAGAAGGGCATGCATAAGATCTGAGAAGAGGGGCAGTGTCTGAGCCCAGAGCTCAGCTCAGGCCCTGGGAATGAGTGCAGCAGACCCTGCGGTACCCATCCATATCCCCTCTGTACCCACCGACGCAGGGGCCGCTGATGGAATAACTGGGGGTGTTCAGTGTAGTGTAGGCTCTGGGAGATAGCAAGTATTCTATGAGAGGGGCTGCTTAGGACCTGGGGAGGAAACAGATCTCATCCTGGGAAGAAGCCATGGCAGAGTGAAAGGAGCAACTGGACTCAGAACAGCGAGATCTGGGTTCTGGGCCCAACTCAGTCTCCAGATCACTGTGTGACCCGAGGCAAGTCACATGACCTCTCTGCACATCTGCAGAACAAGGCGCTTCTAAGAGCCCTCCCAGAGCCTTGACTCTAAAGAGTTCTATGTCAATGTTCCCGTCCAACCCCCACCTTAAATATGACCCGTGGCTTCCCAGCTCAAACCCGCCTCCTGTCAGAAGGCCAGTCAGCACCAGGAACCCACAGGGTGAGTCAGCAGCCCTCACGGTCGCTGCGTGACGCAGGCCTGGCAGTGACAAGGCTGCTCGGTTCATTAAAATCTGGGGATAATGTGCCCTCGCCCTTGGAGATGCCATTACGGGGTGGTTTCTGCAGCTTCCTCCTTGGGAGGGAAGAGAATGGGGAGAAAGGGCAGCGGGAGATGAACCTGACTCACACCCCTGGGGGAGAGGCTGACATGGCAAAGTTTTATGCTGGTCTCAGCTTGGAGACTTAGATGCTGGAGGGGAGGGAGCCATTAGGCTCTTTCATCTCCTGTGACAGGAACCTCAGTGCGTAAACCTGGCTTGAGCTCAGAAGGGATTTATTGGTTTTATGCCACTGACAAGCTCAGGGATGAACCTTTAGTTCCACCTTGTTGCAGGGGCTCAAATGATGCCACCAGGATGTTCTCCATCTTTTAGCGTCTCTCCCCCATGCAAGGCCATGCTCAGATCTCACTTCTTGGAGGCCAGATGGTTTTCCATCCAGACTGGAGTCCAGCAGAGAAGAGAGAGCTTCCTCAACAACTAATCAAAAGTCCTGGGCCGATTCCCATTGGCTCCAAGGGTCACACACCTATCCCTGAACTGATCTGGGCCAGTGGGAAGGAATGTGGTGATTGGCTTAATCCAATCAAGAAAGATCCTGCAATCTGGAGGTGGGGTTGATCCAGCCCAAGCCTGGGATGGGCTGAGACTAGGGGAGGGGGAAATTCTGGGGGAAATTACAGCTTTACTAGTAAAAGGGTGACAGGATACTGGATGGCAACAGCCTACAGATATCCTCCACTGGGTTAGGGTAGAGGGCAAGAATAGCTAATGCATAAAATCAAGAGGAATAGTGGGAGAAAAGCCTAATGTCCTTGAAGCATGGCTGATCTTAATTCATCTTCCCAATAGTCTAATTTGAGTGTGAGTACTATTGTCCTAAATCCAGAATCCTATATTTTAGTGTTGGAAGGATCTTCAAAAGCACCTGGTCTGACATCCTTATGTTTAGAGATGAGGCAACAGACCCAGAAACGTTAAGTGACTCCCTCAGGGTCACATGGCTCATTAGTAGAAGACTCAGGTCTTCCCAGACAGGTCGGTCCAGCCGGTGTCCATCTCCTCAGAGGTGCTGCTGAATTACAGTGAACGCTGTGCAAGGCAAGCCTGGCTCTCACGCAAACCAGGCAGGTCGGCCTACATGGGCTAGAGTACATCCTGCCTTGGGTGAGTGGAAAAACGGGTCCCTCACCACCTCCCTGCCCCCAACCCCCCAGCATGGGCAGGTGTCTCAGTAGATACACCCAGCTGCGCCCTGCTGGAGACTCTCTCAGAGGATCCTGGGGCTCTTCACGTTTCACACTCCTGATCGGTAGCTGACCCCAACCTCTGCCACCTCACCCTGCCTCCCTGCAGGTCTGTGAAAGCAGAAAAACTAACTCCAAGAGTATGAAAAATGGTGAGACTCTTCATGGTCATCTAGCCAAAACCCTGCATTTTATAAGAGGCAAACTCAGGCCCAGAAGAGGAGGGGCATTCCAAGGCAGGCAGAGCGATCCGGGTAGAAGGGCTCCTGGCTCCCAGTCTGATGCTTTCCCACCACCCCGCTGGCCTTGCTGGTTGCATGAGCCCTGAGCTGCCCTTCTTGTGGCTTCTGATGGGGACTATCAACCAGCCACATATTTACACACGGACAACCTCTCTCCCTTAAACAGTATCACACTTTGCAAGGTGTGTTAAACATGAAACAAATGAGGGCCAAAAAGCAGTTGGGGGTTGTCCAAGGTCAGCTGCCCAGCAGTCAGAGGTCAGGGCCAGCCCCCTGTGTCTTAGGACAGAAGCCTTTAAAGAGTTTGTGTCACTTACCCTCCTTGATCCCTGCAAGGCTGGAGTCCCTGTAACTGTTGCCCTGGTTATAGATGAAATAATGGGGCTCAGAGGGGCCCAGCCCTCCGGGCTCCCTTACACAGCTGGTCAGCGGTGAAGGGGGGGTGGGCCAGTGTGCCTGGAGTCCAGTCTGGTACCCTGTCACCCTGCACACTGCCACTTGTACAGCTGGGACTGGCCTTCCTGAGTGTAACTGGAACCTGATCAGTGGAGCTCTAGACAAGTCAGAGGTTATTTTTCTCACTCAGTGAGGTGGGATTCACTCAGTGAATCACTGGGCTGGGAAGTGGTGAAAGCCCAGCAGCTCCAAGATACCATCTGGCCAGCTTCCTCCTGTATCTCCCCTCAGTGTCCTCAGGGTGTGCGGATGCCCTTGGGGTCACAGCGTAGCTGCTCCACCTGGGCCTCCTTTCAGGCTGGGCAGCTGGCGGTCCTCTGGGAGAAGCCAGAGGCCCCTGCCCTTCCAGGGAATTTCCCAGAATGCCCCACAGCCACCTCTGCCCCGTCTCATTGGCGGGAGCTGTGTCACGTGACAGCCTGCAGAAGGATGGGAAATGTAATGTTTTTAAGTAGGGGAAATTGTTGTCCTGGACAAAATAGGGATCGTGTCAGGAGGAAAGAAGAGGAGGGTGGCTATTGGTGGGCAGCCTGCAGTCTCTGCCCCAACATTTACAATCTCATTTTCATGTTTGCTACCTCCCTGGATCCACACAAGCATGTTGATTGTGATCAGGCAGTGAGAGGCTGAGCCACTTGCCCGGGACCCCACAGGAGTGGCCTGAGGAAACAAGCTAGAGCCCGGCTCCCTGCAGCTCCCCAGGTCTGCCCTCCTGCCCCGCGTTGTCTGCTCTCTCCTCTCTCGCCATCCCAATTCTCTGCTTCTCCAGCTCCGCAGACCAGCTGGGGTCAGCACATTCCTGCAGGCTGAAGATGAGAGGCCAATTGTTTATCGCTTCTGGTTCTGACACAGACATACTTTCAGCCTGAACTACCTTGAGCAAGTCTGCTATGGAAAGTCCAAACTCAGACCAACCCCCTGGCGTTACACTCCCTCTCTCACATCCTGCTCGTGGGATATTCACTGGGGTAACCTTAGCGGAAGACAGTTGGGCAGTGTCCATCAAAATTCAAAATGCACATGTCCTTTGTCTCAGCAATTTAACTTCTAGGAGTTGATCATTCTGAAATACGCTAGAGTACAAAGCTATGTAAGGATCTTCACTACAATGTTATTTGTAATAGCAAAATTGGAGAAATCTAAATGTCTATCAGTAGGAGATGGGTTACTTAAATTATGGCACATCCATACCATTGAGTACGGAGCAGCCATTAAAATGATTGAATTTGGCCTCTATGATCTGACTTGGGAGAATGTCCATGATGTGTTTTTGTTTTGTTTTGTTTTGTTTTTTTGCTGTACGCGGGCCTCTCACTGTTGTGGCCTCTCCCGCTGCAGAGCACAGGCTCCGGACGCGCAGGCTCAGCGGCCATGGCTCATGGGCCCAGCCGCTCCACGGCACGCAGGATCTTCCCGGACCGGGACACGAACCCGTGTCCCCTGCATCGGCAGGCGGACTCTCAACCACTGCGCCACCAGGGAAGCCCCATGATGTGTTTTTGAATAAAGAAAGTAGACTGATGAAAAATACAAATAGCGTTATAAAGATTCTAATAATCTTGGTTTGTATACAGATAAGTGAGTATCTGGAAGGATATGTGCCTGTGTGGGAGACTCTCAGGAAAATTCCTCATGCATTGAGGTCCTCTCATTACATGAACTTTATGTCCCTTATCCAAGCCATTTGTGCCTGAGATCCCTTCCCTTTTTGCCTACATCAGTAATGTCCCCATCTCTTCTGGATCATTCCAATTAGTGAACAAACACA